CAATATGCGTTTTTGCTGCCTGTTGCAGCGCTCTAGCGCTGCACGGCAAAAACGCATAAAAATCAGTACAGAGGCCCAGCACGCGCGCACACGCACACACACACACACACACACACAGACACACACACAGACACACACACATATATACACACAGACAACCTCTCGTCAATATGCGCTTTCCGCATTGCACAACTGCAAAAAACGCATAAAAACTGTGCAAATCCGGCCCCAGCTAAAAATAACTCACTGGTAAGTGAAGCCAGCAAATGTTGTTACAGTGCGCATTGGCGGATCAGCGCCATCACCTGTTTCAAGTCGAAAATACGCATCATTTCTTTCATGAACTACCGCTTCTAGATTGCGCATGCTCTAAAACAATAAAATTATTTCGATTCGGTTCGGAAATTCAGAAACTCAACATCCACAGCATCAAACTTCCGAGGAAAAACAAGCTCACTTAGCAGATTAAAACGCTCAAATTACAAGGAAAAAACTGCTCAAATAGTGCCAATTTCCTCATTTTCGAAGTTTCAGAACACATAGCTTCGCCTTCCTCGCAAAAGATCTCTTTATTTATAGGTCCGGTGATTTCACCAAGGTTTCCCAATAACAACAAAAATGTTTTTTTCGAGATAGGACAGGAGGGGTAAGAAGAAGGAGAAACGTTCTTTCAAGGCATTTTCTGTTCAAAAGCATCTTTATTACAAGGGGCTAGAATCATATTCTGTGAATGAGCAACCTCGGCAACTTTTTCGATGCGATCGGGGTTTGGCATACGATGCGCATTGCTAACACACGCTTCCAACATTGTTAACAGCATATTACGTTCTTTTAATAATACATACCTAAAATAAATAAATAATCTCGCACGCCAGGGTAGCTGATGCGATCATGCGCTTTGTGCAGTTCTGCTTAGTGGACGTTTGCTGTTAAAAATGTGCACCGCTTTGCTGCTTGGTATGTGCAGATACTGCCGGAATGTTCTGTTCGGCTAAAATCTACATTTTTCTGTATGTGAGATATGGCGTACATAAAAGCTGAATTTAAATTTGCGGGGGTCACGTGCTTGCAGGAAACACTCCTCTCAAATATCAAGTCTCCAAACTTTCTGGAATTCGAGCTAATAATTCTCAAATTGCAACCATTATGTGACCGTACGTGAGGCCTAGACGTACGTGAAAGTTGAATTTGAATTTGCGAGTTCGCATGCACACTGGGGATATCCCCCAGAATTTCAGCTTCCTAGCACTGGCAGATAATAATTATTCCGATTAAAGCTTTCACGGAGCCGTATGCAAGACTTAGGCGCACGGGAAGACTAATTTTGAATATGCGGGGTCGCACATGGACGGGAAACGATATGCAATGAAGTGCGTATAATAAAACTCAGGCTGGGACGGTTTTACGCTAAAGTTGAATACCATGAAAGGTGGCTGTGTTTTGGCCTCTTCTTGCATACAGGAGAAAGGGCGTCGACTGGGACAGCAGTGTTGCAATGACGTAAGCTTATCGCATGCCCAGTTTTCATCTGCTTGTACATTACAGACTCCAAACACTACCACTTCGATGAACTTTGAAAACATGGCTATAAAAACTGAGTAATATGAGAAACATAAACGCAGTGAGCGGACTCAATTCTTGTTCATTTTCGAGAACTCACTGCTGAATAGTTACATAAATGCTCGCACCACAGTTTATGGAGATCGGAATTGGATTTCAGCCTCAATTCATCGGTACTCCAAGACCGCCCGGGTTTCTTCTTTTCATCGAGCTCATCTTTCCCGTAGTTTGCAGGATCGTCAAAAAATTCTCGAATACCCTCTGGTAAACTTGTATTCAGTTTCGCACTGCAGAAACTCCGCGCCATTCCAAACAAGTTACTGGAAAAACATATTAAAACACAACAAAATAGTTTACTGTCAAAATTTGTTTGCTCCTAAACAAAAAAACTCCGAATTTAAGCGGTCGCAAACCGTTTCCGGAGGAGAAGGCCGAGGGCGAGAATGAAGGGATGACAGGGAGAAAAAATGGAAATACGATACATTCGTGTTTCTCCGCTGATCGCAATTTCACCCCCCAGAATTAGAAAGCGAGGACCTATGATGTCTGTGGCAGTCTATCACCACATAACAAACAGCGGAGTTTCTGCATCGCAGCCATGCAATCATGCATTTTGCGCAATTCCGTCCACCGGACTTTTGCTGTTAGGAATTTTCACGCCTTGGTGCGTGCAAAAATAACTGATTTGCTGCCGAACCGTTGAGCTGCAAAATTTGCCACTAAAAATTGCATGTGCCGTACGTGAAGGCTGAACGTAAGTTTGTGCGATAGCACACGAACAGACTTTAGTTGTCGTGTCTGGCTTCTGAATAAAAAATTTCGCACTTGAAATTCTGCACATTCTTATGCAAGACTTAAGCAGACACGGAAGTCGAATTTGAAATTGCAGACAACATATTAACAGCAACCGTCATCCCAAATTCTGGCTTTCCATTTTTATTCCATCTTTTCCGGTCCCCGGAGTAAAAAATTCTTCGCCAGTATACCCACATCTCCACAATGTGAGATGTATTTGGGAGCTGAGCAATGGGCAGAAGACATCCTCATAAAATATCAGTCCTCCTCTATTTTGTCCGGCTTTTATGAGTCAGAAAGTTTCCCGCTAAAACTTTTACGTGCCTCCACCTACGGCCTGAACCTGTGCAAAAGCTAAATTCGAATTAGCGACAGTACGCATAAGCAGAAAAAATCCTCCCGAAATTCAAGCCTTTTCGTTTCCCTGACCAACGAATTGGCGACTTTCGAGTCAAAACTTCGATATTTCTATACTTAGGACCTAGACGCAACTGCAACTTCAATTTGAAACCTTTGCATGACACATGGGCGAGGAATTTCTTTTCAAATTTTCATCTTCTTAACCCTTTTTTACGTGCCCCTATGTGAAAAAAAATGAACACGTGAAGGCTGAATTTCAACTTGCGGGGTCGCATATGGGCAGGAAGCCTTCCCCTAAAACTTTAGCTCCTTCGCTCTCTCTGATCATCCGTTGAAAATCCGGGACAATACGCACTTGGACACACACACACACACACACACACACACACACACACACA